CACGTAGAGTTCATTATTTTAATATTTAAAACCAATTCACCAATACCATAATAATTGTTTCAAGTTTTTTCCAGTTGTCTCTGAAACTAGGATGGCCAGATTAGGATGGTCCGGCATTCAGATTTAAATTTTTTTTAAAAATGGGTTAATTCTTTCAAAAAAACTCTGCAAATTTAGAAGATTAAGACTGAAACCAATTTAAAAACAAATAAAACTCCATCTATTTTTACCACATGAATTCAACAGGGATTCAACATGATCTTCTACAAGCTAAGTAACCAAAGTTCTTTTTGTCACTGAACTTGTCAGTTTTGCTTTTTTTCATTCATGTTCTTAAACCTTGAGCACTTTTCTTCCTGTTTCTGAAGAATTGTACAATTTTTGTGAAATAAACTGAACAAATATTATACCTTTCCTCAATTTATAGCTACCTATAAATAGATAATTTAATAAAAATAAATGAGAATGTTACTTGGATCAATTTCTGATGGAGAAATTGACCTACTTTACTTGGGAAGCCTTGTACGCTTTTATTTTGATACAGTAAACATAGGTAGTCCTCGACTTATGGCCATAGAGGCCAAAATTTCTGTTGCTAAGGGTAATATTTGGTAACTTGAGTTTTGCCCCATTATACAATTATTTTTACCACAATTGTTAAGTGAATCATTGCAGTTGTTAAGTTAGTAACATGGTTGTGGAGTGAATCTGGTTTCCCCATTGACTTTGCTTGTCAGAAGGTGCTTCTCAAAAGGTGATCACATGACCCCAGGACACTACACCTGTTATAAATATGAGTACGTTGCCAAATGTCTGAATTTTGATCACATGACCTTGGGGATAGTGCAACACTACTCATAAACGTGAGAACAGTCGTAAGTCACTATTTCAGTGCTATTGTAAATTCAAGGTCACTAAACAGATTGTTGTAAATTGAGAACTACCGTGTTTCCCAAAAAATAAGACAACCAGAAAATAAACCCTAGTCTGATTTTTAGTGTGCTCCTAATGTAAACCCTACCCCCAAAATAAGCCCTAGTTAAGGTCATCAGCGGGGGCGGGGGCATGGCCAGCACCAGAGGCAGTGAGGGTTTACTCTGGTGCTGCATAGCCCGCACAACACAGGTTACCTTTCCAAGCAGCAGATTGAGGCAGAAGCACAGGTGGGAAGGCAAGTGATCCAGATGCTCTGTGCAGGTTGTGGAAAAGCCGAGAGTAGGTGGGCCGGAGCGGGTGGGCAGCTCATCTCCACATGGCATTACTGGCAGAAGACGGAGGCAGAGATGCGGTGAGGAAGGCAGGCGATCCAGATGCATCGTGCTGGCCGTGGGAAAGCCGAGGTGGGACCGCGGGAGGCTCATTTTCGTGCGCTGGCAGAGGCGGGGGGAGACAGACGATCCAGACATGCCATGTGGACCACGGGAAAGCTGAGAGTTGGGCCAGAGCAGGTGAGTGGCCACTCGAGGCTCATCTTCGTGGGTAGCACAGGCAGCAGATGGAGGCAAGTGGGAGGGCAGGCGATCCCGTCATGCAGGTGGATGGAGTGGGCACGAGGGAAGGCAGCATATCCCACTGCACAGGCCACAGGCAAAATGAGACATGCAAAGATGTGCCTCCCACAGCTGCCTGCCCACTCCATCCGTCTTGGCTTGCCTGCAGCCTGCGCAGTGCAGCAGAATCGCTTGCCTTGCACCTGTGCCTCTGCCTCTTATCTGCTGCCGGTGCCATGTGAAGATGAGGCCTCCCGTGGCCGGCCGCCCTGGTCCACCTCTCAGCTTTCCTGCAGCCCACCTCCCCCCTTGCGCCTCTGCCTGTTTGCTTCTTGGACAAGTAATCAACTCATCTGCACTGCACAGGCTGCACAGCACCAGTTTGCCGACCAAAGGACTGGTGGGCTGCAGCTGCTGTTGGATACCATCAGCCCCCATGCACTCGCAGCCTCTTGTGTGTGTGTCGGGGCGGTAGGGTGCCCAGCCTGGCTGATCAGCCTGATATCCTGTTTCCCCCAAAATAAGCCCTAATGCTTATTTTGGAGCCCAAAAAAATATAAGAACGGGTCTTAGTTTTGGGGAAAGTACCAGTATTCATAATGCCAGTTTACACTGACAATCCTGAGCTGTTTTTTTATACATAATCCTGCATTTCCACTTAAGTGGGACAAGGCATTATTATATATGGATTTCTTGTACAAGAGATCTTACCATTCCAACTCTGGAAATCAGAAAAAGAGTTGTCCACAAAAATACAGCTCTAACTTCAAAAATTTGAGAGCGAAGAGATGTCTGATAGAAAATTCTGAATGGGGGTTAAAACATCTTTGTCTTTGTTCTGTGAAATAAATACGATATGGCTGTAACTTTTCTATGAAAGCTGCTACAGCATAGCAGCTGGTATACAAACCAGAAAGTGCCAAGTTAAATGAATTTCTTTGCCATGAATTCAGTAGGCAAATTAGGGTTCCTATTTTTGGCACAAAAATATCAAGCCCATCAACAATTAAGAGGAAAAATTAAGAGGATCCAAGTGACGCTGGATCTGAAACTTGGGACCTCCTACACATGCTTTACTTCACAGATTCTGTAGAGGAAATACACCATACAAATCAATTGTCTCAGACTAAAATGTAACAAGTTTAGCCATTTGTCGCATCTTCAGAACTGGCAAAAAAATCACTTCTCAGAGTCCATCCTCTTGAGAATGGTGGGGAAAAGAGGATGGTGGATTCTATTGAGAAACTGAAATTTTTGCCATCTCTAAAAATGTGAGAAATGCCTACACCTGTTACCCTCTAGTCCTGTAGCACATTTAGCCTGTATATTGTTCAGTACACATCTGGAAGTTTGGTTTTCTGAAATTGATGGCAAAACTAGGCAAAGGAGTATTTTTCAGGCTCTGTTCTCAAAAAGCAATTATGGGATTAGTAAAACAGCGCATGGGATTACTGAAAGTATTACAAAGTTGAGCCTTCACTTAAGTTTTATAAACCAAAAAAGGAATAGTACTGTCTCTTTTATTTTGGATGTGTACCAGATTGGTATATAAGAAGTTAAGCCAATAACTGATCATTATCACTTCAACACTGTGTACAGGACAATTCTTCTTTGGGGCAAAAACTTTTGATTTCATGAAACCCAAATGAGCATGTTTTTTCCTATACACCATTTTAATTCCACACCTTGAAGATAAAAATCTACAATTATTCTTTCAGAGGTCTCCCTACTTACTAGATATATCTAGTAAGATATATCCCCCCGTTTCCGCTTATTACAGTACAGTACATTTCTCTTTTAAAAACTGGACAGTACTGAATTAACATAAACTTAAATTCTCAAAAAAAAAAGTATGCTTACATTTGAGCAAAACAGTTTCCTTCATCGGCCAGTTCTTTATTGTAATAAAATGGGACTGAAGAAAATATATCTTTTTTTGTTTGGGGTTATTAGGTTATTCTTAATGTATTTTAAAAATATTTTTAATAATATTTTGTTTTATCCAAAAATTATTTTCAAAATAAAAATGCCTTCAAATCATTCTCGGCCACAAACAGTAAAAATTGTGACAGTGTATTTATTCTTTGTACAAAACATGATTATTAGTAATAAGGAGCGCCACCACTGATATAATTTGAGACTGAAGCAAAAATGCCTTCAGAAAAGATGGGAGAAAGGAGTAGTTTGGAAAATTCAGCATAGAAGTGGAAGAAAAGAGGAAAATGGACTGTAAAGAAATGTACACATCTGATTTAAAATAGAATGTGTGTATGAAATGCATAGTACAGTTGGTGATACGATAGTGGACACATGGTAGTGGAACCTAGAACACTTATTATGTTAACAAACTGAATTGTGTCAATTAGGTCTAAAGAATTTCACAGCAATTAAAACTTTATTATTAAAGTTGCAATCCAAAACATGAGCCTTTGGATGCAATAAAAATCAGTAGGGTTTACTCCTCAGTAAATGTGTTTAAAGAATAAACAAATGTAGAAGTTGAAGCACTTGTTAAATATAATATACCCCTTGAAAGGCCAGAAAAATCCAAACTCTTTATAGGACAGGGCTAGAGAATTTCTCTCCTTTTCCTTTTTAAAAATTATTTTTCATTTTTGGAACTCTTTTTCTTCTTCCCCACAAGGATTTTGGAAAAGAAAGGCAGATCACTATAACCCGGTCTTATTTTTTCCCCCCTATCACAGTGATTTTAATATTAAGGGAAATTTGTTTCCTTTATTTGACATTCAACTTAAGACAGAAATTATATATTACCAGAATTGGGAAAAAATTACGATTTCAAGGAAAAATAAGTAACAGTTACCTAATTTACAGATTATTTCACAAATGTGTATAATTGGATACAAAAAAGGGGGGTTCCATTCTTCATTTCCTGGGACAATTTTTTTTTTAATCCAGTAGAGGATCTCAGTAATGGAGATAAGAGGCAGTGACCAGCAGAAATGAACCTACCTCCATAATTTTATTTTGACAAGTTACCTTATCTAAGCAATTAGTTGAGAAAAATTGCAAATTACCATCTCTTTAGTATCCTTAATCTTCATTAGCTAGAACCTCACATTGTGGGTGAGTCACATTTTTGCTAGGCTAAGAAACACATTGGATGGAACCCACTTCACAGGGTTGTTGTAGGGAAAATAGGAAAAGGAAGATATATTGGATGTTTGTCACCTTGACTTATTTGTAAAAATAATAAAGGCGAGATACAAATTAAAGATGATGCAACATAGGGGAAGCCACACACAGGTGGAACTAGGATTTTCCATTTTTTCCCATGATTTCAAAGAACTTTTATTTTAAAATAAGCCTGTTTTAGGATGCACACTATAATTTTCATTTGTTCTTAACCAAAATCGTGAGAAACCATACCGCTAATTTTTGGCAATCATGGACAGGAGATTTTGAAGGCCTTAAAAAAAGTGGAGGATGCAGGCTGCAGATGGCTCAGCCATAGGAATAGGAGGAAAGTAAAGACGAAACAAAAATTGCTTGTAAGGAATGTATATTTTTAATATGCATGACAACATGGGAAGGGTATTTCTTAAAGGGATAGCATAAACTATATCAAATAGTGCTGTATGTTGAGAGTAAAAGAAAAAATCCAGAGAGGGTTTGGGTAGTCTCCTGTCCAAAAACTGAGGAAGTGTCTTCCCACTTGGTTTTTCATAATTCAAGGTCACATAACTGACAAGATAGAATAGATTATTGGAGTTTTACTGGATTTAAAAGTTGTGAATTCAGGATTTGCCTTACAAACCTCTGACATATTATGGATATTTTATTCAGGATTTGAAGACTTATTTTTTATGCACACTATTTTGCTTGGGGGGGGGATTTTAAAAAAATGTTATAACCATGAATGGGCTCTCCCACAGTGCAATCATTTTACAACAGCACTCACAATACCTTTTCAAAATTCCAAATATGCCCTCTAACATAAAACAATTGGAGCTGTCACGCATGAGATCAGGAGTTAAGGCAGTTCAAATGAATTCAGGTTTAATGCATGCTAACACTTTCCAGAAGAATATGAACTACTAATGTAAAAGCAAATTGGTGGTAGATAAGAGTCAACAGAATTCAAGATGGGATGGATTTAGACTCTAAACTAATGATGTACTTGATCCCTCCCCTCAGGCTCAGCCTGGTCATCTCCTACATTTAAAACTCCATCATTCTCTCTCCCAATTTAAAAATTAGTGTTAAGGAAAGCCCATTTTGTGTGATTGCTGCCCAAGGAAAGGAGTGAAATTCTAATGCACATAAAATAAAGGGAGTAGTAGTGTAGAAAAATAAGCAATCACTGACTTAGTAATTTCCAATTTTGTTCTTAAAGTAATTTATAGCAGTACAAATCTGGCAGTAGCCATTAATTGAGATACAAGGATAAAGAAAATCTGTGTCCTTTGTCTTTAGCTAGTTTTTATGGAGGAACTTTTGAAAACAAGAGGTACCGTTTGGGGGTACACTGTCATAATTTTAAACTGTTTTTAATAGGGTTGCTGATTTTGTCATTTTGTAAGCCGCCTTGAGTCCCCAGGGAGAAGGGCGGCATATAAATCGCAATAATAAATAAATAAAATAATACTTCCTGAAAGTTCTATTATCAGTTTTCCTCAGTTCCTTCACTAAAATGTTCACATTCATAGACTTATAGATCCACAATGTGCAGATTTAGATTCTGAACTTTCCCCCCCACTGTATGGATTTTCAAAATGTAGTTTAGAAATCTAGTTGCCTAAGAACGATCATGAATGTCTGACTGTTGAAAGGGGAGGGCATCTTTATAGACAGATATTCTCTTTTCTCCTCCAGGAAAGAGAAAAGTTGTAATGTGTATCTGTTCCGCTATCACTTTCCTTTAGGCAGTCAAGCTCTTCTCAGTAAAATCTTGAACCTATCAACGTTGATGTAGCCGCCTGCATTTTGCTTGATAATTGCGCTAGGAGGAAGTGATAAAAGACAGACTCGGAGCTGCAATTACTCAACTATGCCCACATTTTTGATCCTCTCTACCACTGTTCATTATTTGAACATACCAACTATCCAACTTAAATACCACTTGTTCCCATGTAAAAGTTCGGTGTACAGTAACTAGTTGAGAAAAGTTGCCGGGGATTTTAAGATAATTGGGACAATTGGGTATATAATGGGGGGGGAAATACTTTTTTCAATTGAAGAGGCGGGTAATCACCTGTAACAGTTTGTAAAATAGGAAATTCTGAAACTGGACTTGGGACAATGATTATTTGGGAAAAAAAACGTGAAGCCCCACCACCTGTGGTCCCGTATGCCAAATTTAACTTCAATCCGGTGTGTTTAAAAACCTTCCTCACCTGAAAGTGTGAATACCGCCAGGCTCCAAAAAATTCCAGGAAGGAGAGGGAGGGAGGGAGAGAGAGAGAGAGAGAGAGAGAGAGAGAGAGAGAGAAAGAAAGAAAGAAAGAAAGAAAGAAAGAGAAATCGGTGCTTTATCATAGTTCAGACCATCGGTTAATCCTACAGAGGCACCTGTCCTCTTCCACTGTATAACATCAACCTAAATGGCGAAGATTTCTAGCTTGCACCTTGGGATGAACACCCTTTGAATGGTGTGGGAGTATGAACAGATTTCCAGGGGGGAAAAAACTGCACACTACAGGAACCATTACCATTTGCACCACTCAGATGACCCTGAGGACACAGATAAAACCTCCAAGTTCCTGAACGACTCTCTTAAAAGGATGCAAATGACCAGCTTGTCTGCAAGGAATATTAATCCTTCCATTCCCCCACCATCCAGTCAGAGCTGAAGAAACTTCTCGGATGAAGAAGCGAAAAGTCCTCAAAGACAAAAACAAGAAAGTCCAGTTGCCTCCTGAAAAAGGAAAAAAAAAAGGGGGGGGGGACACACACAAACTTGAGAATCTCCATAGATTTCTAAATGGCGAAAACGCCTCGCCTTCCTCTCCGTTCCCACGATCCTAGGTCGGCTTCGGGACGAGCGGGAAAACCTCCTTCCTAAGAGAAGGCAGGCTCTTCCTTGGGCTGCTCAGCCGCCGCCGCCGCCGCCTCTTCCCTCGCCGCTACCTCCCTTCTGCTGGGTGATTTCCACTTCCTCTCTCCGCGGGAGAGAAAGAAGAGGAGGCTGGAGGAGAAAGTCGCGGCGGCGCTGTTACCGTCCAAAGACTCTCTCTCTCTCTCTCGCTCCTTCTCCTTCTCTCCCTCTCTCTCTCTCTTTCCCTTCCTCCCTCCGCCCGCCCGGTCTGTGTGTTTGTGCGTGAGAGAGTGAGCGCGCGGGTGCGCGCGCGCGAGCGCGGATGGCGCGGGGAGGGGACTAGGCGAAAGAGGCCGACGAGAGCCGCCGCTGTCGTGGTCGAGCGGGTGTTGTTGGGGGGGGGGGGGGGGGGGGGGGGGGGGGCCCCAAGGCTGGCCGGGGGCTGAGCGGGCTTACGAAGTCCCCGTGTCACCGCGGCGGCCCCCGCCCGCGCGCCCGCCCCATTGCTGCTGCTAGGGGAAAGGGGAGGGGGGGAGAGAAGGGAAACTGCCGCCACCACCACCACCACCACCACCACCGTCCGCTTCTCTTTACCCGGAAAGGCCCTCTCCGCTCTGCTACCGCCACCATCGCCAACCTTCGTCTCCTCCTCCTTCTCCTCCGCCACCGGAACCGAGTCTCCTCCCTCCCCACACACACACACACACACTCACACACACGCGCGCGCGCTCGCGCTCGCTCCCCAGCCCCGGCGAGCCTTCCCGAGCCGTGCACACAACCAAGAGGGGCGACTTGGGGAGGGGAGGGGGGAAAGCCCAGGCTAGGCCAAGACGGGCCGAAGCTGCAGAGCGGGCGCCGAGCAGCCGAGAGCGGGGGGTGGGTGGGAGGGGGGAACTGGAGCCCGGGACGGGCCTGGGCTGGGCCGGGACAGGCCGCTGCCGCCGTCTTCTCCTCTGAACTAGGATGTCCCGACATGAAGGTGAGTGCGAAGCCGGGAAGCAGGCCGGCCCTGGGCGATACGAGCCGGGAAGCGGTGGGGTGGGGGAGGGAGGGAAAGAGGAGCGAGGCAGAGGTGGCTCATCATGGCGCCGCCGACGCTGCACTAGGAGTGGTGATGGGAGTAGTAAGTCGGGCTGGGAAGAAGCCGGCGATCGAGCCCGTCCGAGAGGGCGAGCCCGAGCGGCAGAAGGGCGGGCCGGCCCCGCTTTGCATTGTCATGGGGCCTACGGCCGTTACGGCTCCCTCTTTCGACCCGATCCACGGGTGGCCTGAGGTGCGGCCTAAAAACCGAGCCAAGGCGGTTCTGGGAGCCTCGGGGCCGGGCCTGGCCCTGGCCCCACCCTGGGGGGGGGAATAGTTATTGGGCGAAAGTTTCCCCGGTTTCCGGGACGATCTCTGCGTTTAGGGTGGGCGTCCTTGAGAGGGAGAGAGGAGGGAAGGGAAGGGGCTCGGAATCGGGCGAGAAGCCGGATGGATGGATGGATGGCAGTGGCGGGGTGGGTTGGGGGTGGGCAGGTCGGTCATAGGAATGAGTAAGGGATGGACTTTCGGGGCGGCTCGCATCTCGGACAGAGTTGAGGGTTTGTTCTGCGGCACATGGGAATGACGTGCCTCCATTTGAAGGGTTAACGGCGTAAAAAAAAAAGCGTTGCGGAATGAAATCGGAGGGGATGGGTTTATGATCGCTTGGTTGTAGGGCGCACGGACGGGGGTGGGGGGGTGGAAAAAGTTTTCCTGGGCAAACGAGGGTCTGTGTGAAGGACAGATGTTGGGAAAGGTGTGATGAGGGCTGACGTTGTAGTTGCTGGAGAGGACTGAGTAACCGGGGATCCACCGTAGCCGGTTAAAAGCTGTGATCGGGCCAAAGGGGGAGAACGACTTGCGGCAAGGCCGCTGGAAAATGCATATCAAGGAAGGAGGGAGGTTAACGGTCGGAGATCACAGGCCCGAAAAATGGGGAATGTACCTTGTGTACTTAAAAGTGTATTTGGAGATAGCTGGACTAAGGTTAAGGTGCCTGCACAGGAAAATGTGAGATTGGAAGAGGAAGTTGATATTGAACTTGGGTAAAGTTCATGTATTTCAAGGAATGCACCCTTTCTTGAATTCCAGAAGAGAATAATACTGGCACCAGAGAAAAGTGAAAGATAATTTCAAATGGAGAAAAATACACCAGAGACTGATCAAATGGCATATTTAGTTATGGATGGATGGATGTGTGGGGTATATGCTATTGGCTGAGAAAGTGTTTTTTAAATGATTTCCTGCAAACTTAAAATTTTATAGTCAAGTCTTTTTTCTAATAATGTGTAAAATTATCACTATTTAGGTACTTCTCTCACCAGGCATCTTTGTATCTTGTGGTGCTTTATAGGTATTAGCAAGTATTTTTTAAAAAAATGAGAATGGTTCCTTGAGAAAATCTTTTTGTTGACAGAATATAGTAGGATCTCTTGCTTTGCTTACAAAAGTGACAATTCAGCTTTCTCTGCCTTTCCATTCTTGAAATAAGGAGAATTTGGAAAAGAATATCCTTAAGAAGAAAGAAAGAAAATTATATGCAGGACTGATGGATCATTCTTTCTTCTCATATTTTGAAGATGTCAATAATCAGAAGTTACTTGTTTAAACAACTTTTGTCCAGATTTGGGCAAGTTTAGTGTCAGGGAAACTACAGGTTTCATTATCAGTGGGCCTGAAATATTGTTATGGAAATACACAACAGGCATTTGGGATACTCTGTAATGAAGAAATATGACAAACAGCACTTTTATGTTTAAAGCTAATTGAAGAAATTAAGTATGTATTAACTATGTATCTTGGTTATTGTCTTTTATAATTGGAATTCCATCAGTTGATAACTATCAGAGTATAGTGTATCCTTTATAGTTTAAATAGCTTAATAAGGGAATTCATGAAAGATAGCTCTCTCATAATTATTAGCCATTATAGATTAATGGATCTTTCAAGTTTGTAGGCAGAATGCCATTGAATAAGATTGGAGCCAAATGATAACAGAGGATTATTGCTCTCCTCTTAGTTTTCATGGAACCTTTTGGCTGGTTACTGCTGGAAGTGATGCTGGACTAGTTAAATTCTTGGTTTGCTTCAGTAAAGCTGTAGACTACTGTTGTCTTTTTTGAGGAATGAATGGTTTTTAAATTGTTTTTAAGGGCTGCAATCAAGTTGTGTGGAGATTTAAAGCATGCTAGCAGAATAAAGCACCATTATAGCTATGCTGATTAAAATTATAAAGGAGAGATGCCAAGTACTTGCGAGGTTTGTTATATATCCTGTTGATACCAATTCTTCATCTGAGTGCTTTCCTTATAAATAGCAATTATAGCAATAATTTTTCTTTTTTAAAAAAGCTCGATAGATCTCGGAGAGATTGTAAGCGTACAGTAAAATGGAAAAACTATTTGAAATTATTTTTGTAATTCGTAAATGTCTTTAGTTTTACAGCTGAATCCTATGCTTATTAACTGAGAGGTTCCAAGTCAGTGTTCAAGAGACTGTAGTCTGAAAGTTAGCGTATTACCTTCAATAGATTTTAGTGATGAAGAAAAAGTTATTCTGAACAATTTTACAAAATATTGCTATTTTGTTAGGTTTGTTAGGTTTTCTATGTAAATTATTTTCACTGAATTCATAAGAGAAACAATATTGAATGCATGATGCCAATATAGCTTTGCTATATTGGCATCACTATTGTTAAATATACTTTCAGTATATTTAACAATAGTAGAGAATCAGCACAGATGGTCTGGTCCTTATGTGTTGGACAGGTTTCATTAGCAAGCAAGTAATAATGTCTCTTTAAAAGTTGATTGTCTTGTTGTTTGACAATTAACATGGAGAATTGGAGCCAGAGAACCAATAGTTGATGATCTTGGAGGCCACATTGTTCATTATTTACAAACAGCAAGGCATTTGAATTGTATATTAGAGTAGGCCTTGATATTCTTTTAGGGAGCCAGTTTATTGCTGATACAGTCAATAATGTTGCACTGACTAGTATAATATCTTTTATATACTGGCTGCTGGGATCCTTGCTGAAGTTTATCTAGATGCAGCCATTATGCTGCAACTAGCTTTATTTATTCTTTTCTCAGGAAAACTGATAAATGTGCCTCACCTTTATTGGCAACTCTATTTTGTTAAAAGCTCTATTACTAAGCTAATATCTGATGAACTCCTTGTTTAGGTTTTACTAAGTTCTGTGTTGACAGTTGTTTTCACTATGAACAATTCTCTATCTCCCTAAACATTTGAATATTAATCTTTAATGATGGAAGTTTGAGCTAGGAATAGCTTTTGCATATCTGAATTCTATACTTTAGCTCTTTGGTGTTTAACTCAAAGTTTTCAAAACATTACTGTACAATACAGACTCCGAGATAAGCAAATTAAAAATACAGTATTTACAGAGATTACTCTGGGGTGGAGAGATACTAGTATGTAAATAAAGCTGAATCGTGATACTGCTTTTTTGTATATTGTTCCAGTTATTGTATGCATTATTTCCTGCTTCAGTATTTACTATACATCCTGAATTCGGCTGGTGGTTTCCAGGAAGAGAGCCTTCTCTGTGGGGGCACCTGCCCTATGGAACAGGATACCCCCAGGGATATGAATGATCCCAGATCTCCGTACTTTCCGTCGTGCCTTGAAGACCTTTCTATTTCACCAAGCCGGACTGGCATAAATTTTCAGTTTATCTAAATTCTACGCTGAGGATCTTAATTGATGAGCCAAATCAGTTTAATTATTTTAAATTATTTTTATTTCACATTATATGTATGTTATTCTGACTGTTCACCGCCCTGAGTCCTTCGGGAGAAGGGCGGTATAAAAATTAAATTAAATTAAATTAAATTAAATTAAAATAAAATAAAATAAAATAAATAAATAAATAAATAAATAAATAAATAAATAAATAAATAAATTCATCCTTATATGGCCAGTCAGTGTCCATCTAATTCATCAATTTGTTTTGAACAGCACCTAATGTGATGACCTTGGGGAAACAGCATGGTGGAGATATGTCTTTTCACAGTACTCAAAGGCTTATTATCTTGAGTTACCAAATTCCATTTTTAATTCTCTGATTTAATAATCATTGAAAGACACTTGTTCCTTGTTCCTTCTAGTAAGCCTGTTTTTAATGTCATTAACCTTTTAAGTACCATGTCTTGAAGCAATAAATTTCTTCTGCTCGGCTAACTTTAAATTATTCTCCATTAAAAGAGTACAGTTTAAGCCCATTAGGAATTGTGCATAACAGGGCATAATTCTGTTACGATCTGGTCCTAATAAGTACACAGTGGCTACAGTACAGGATATAGTAAACCGTAATGTGGTTTGGTTTAGAAGTTTGTACCTAGTATTGTGATTTGTTAAACCATGCTTTTCTGAACCCAGGCGCTTGTGACTTATTTAATAAAGAATTGAAAAAGTGGCTTATTTTTGTGAATAAGAATGCTGTTTCAAATAATGGGAAATGTATTTTACTAATATATTTATATTATTTATATATATTTATATATTTATTATATATATATTATATATATATATATATATATATATATATATATATATATATATTAATATATACTATTGTCTCATAATGTATTAAATAAAGAGCTTGCAATGTATCACAGAATGGAGAGAAAATGAAGAATTTACATAATTTGGTTTATTACAGAGACAGTGAAATATAGGGAGTAAAAGTTTTCACAGAAGATTGGTTTTATGGAGGAAAAATTTGAAAGGAGAAACTTTAAACAATATTGGGGAAAGCATAAGATGTAGCATAAATCAATTTATGGTTGTGCTGTGGTAGTAGTTCTTGAAAAACGTAAGGGACAGAAA